AATCCAGACATCACAAATGAGATGCGTGTTTTGTTTGTTCCCACTGTGGTTTCAACAGCTGCGTCTCCTACCAGCTCCAGACTACATGTTTAGAGTACTAAAGAAGCTTCCTAAAGACCTAAAGGGGGGGTTCCTTTGCCATGGCCAAGTCTGACAGCTAATGACATGCAGCACACAAGCAGCCTTGCAGACAAATGCCACAGACATCTCCAGGAGAGCAGACCCAGAGTCAGTGCTCTGCAGTTTCTCCTGCATTACAGAAACAATCACATCTTTGAAACTTACCAGTCTGAGCTACATTTTAACCACTCCAGCCCACGTAGCTTACACTCTACATGGATCAATCCTGCTAATGAGCACAAGCTCTTTACCAAAGTTTTAGCCTAAAAATACTTGAGTTATTTGAGATTTAATGTAAGAAATTACTTTAAAATAATGTTTGTGTTTGTAGTTCCCAAACATAGTAATACCTAGAAATGATGGTACTAGGTTTCTGAAGGGGTCTGTTATTATAAACCTGTTATTGGGGCAATGCAAAGGGCGTAGTAGTTAGATTTTAATATAATTGAAGACTAAGAATCTACAGCCATGCTTGCATCTCTTTAAGACCACTTCAGCACAGTTGTGCTTTGAGCTAAATGCTAACAAAAGTCACAATACTAACATGTGCATGTTTAGCAGTTTATCGTGTTCCCAATCTAAAGTTCATTAACCTCAACCTCACAGTGCTAACGCTAGCAGGCTAAAAAACATTATATCCTTCTCACAAATGCAGCTGACTTTCTTCTAATGGTACTTTTTAACTTATTTGTATGTATATCACAGTGATACACTTGATTGTACTCTTTTGTCTTTACTCTTTACCATAAAAACAGATTCACTGTCTTCCTTTCCATCCATCCGTTAGCTAGACGGCAGAGAGCTGGAGCCAGTCCCAGCTGACACTGGTCCCTGGGATAACACAAAGGAATAATGTTACTCCAATGTCCAAATGTTTGCTGCAAATTGGGTTTGTGTTATTTTTGGTAGTTAAATTAATTTTTTTACTGTTGATAATAAAAGCTGCGTTTACAGTTAAGCTAATATATGTGCATACAGTAACTCAAAATCATAATTATAAGAGGTTATGATAGATAGATAGATAGATAGATAGATAGATAGATAGATCTGTACTGACCTCCATGTGAGCTGGATTCAGTCATTAGTTAGACTGGCTGCAATTACACATCATGTCCACGTGGTGGCGACAAATCCTCTGTCACCTGGAGACTCAGACACATGAAGTTAGTGTTCCTGACTGGTGAGACCAGGTGCTTTTATACTCTCTGTTCATCAGCAGATTTTAATTATTCATGGGACTGCAGGTGTTCAAACATGTTCCTTGTTTGTCATCTGTTGCTTCCGAGGTCAAGATTGAACTGTCCATCTCGAAAATGACATATTTGAGAACAAATTATGCAAGGGTGTAGAGAATCTTTATTCAAAATTATTCAAAAAATAAGAAAAAAAGAAACTAATATAAAATAATTTCTTAAAAATAATATAATATAAATAAATATATTATATAATAAATACAACTAATATTTACAAAATAAAAACTTCATATTTACTTTCTTAAATAAACTGTACTGCAGATAAATAGGAATAAATGATACAACAATAATGCAGTGGTACTAATATGAAGTTAAATGAACAAAAACAATCATCCAAAAACATGCTGGTATAGTATTATTAAATAAAATAAAATAAAATTCTAGCATCACTGTTTTATATAATCAGAAAATCATTTGCAGTTTTCTTTACTTGTCCATCATCAGTTAGCGGTTCTCACCACCAGGGGGCGCTGTTCACTGTCAATTGTGATTGATCATGTCCTCATTTAGCATTAAACAACTTATGGTGAACTTTAAAATCTGGATCAACAAAACAGATTTTAATAGATATTAGATAAAAGATATAATAGTGTTTTTCAGTGGAAAATCAGTCAAAACAAAATGATAACCTTATTGATCGATTGATTAGAAAGAAAATAAGTGCTAGTTACTCATGTCTGATTTTCACTTTTAACTGTTTAGGAAAGGTGGAATTGTCTCAATTGTGAGAAATGCTGCAGCTTTATAGCTCTGTTGTTTCAGGTCAGGTTATCTCAACTAAATTAAAATGACTTGCTTTCATAGATTAGGTTATTTGCATGCAAGTAAGGAATGCGCTACAAACATTCAAGTTTGTGCACGTTCAGATGAAAACAAGATGAATTGCACATACAGTATAGTGCCGATTTATGCCAAGCTTCACCCAGTGAGTGCACAATTTTAAAATGTTATCATGATCATCAAGTTTGACATGAGAAAGAGGTAAATCAAACTAACATCAACACTTTTGCAACGGCTGCAGTTCAGAAAACAAAAGACAGATCATTTTAGATCATGATAATTTGGGCGTCTACTACAGAACATAGTCCTCACTCATCAGTTGACAGACACCTGTTTGTGTGTCTGTCTCCTAGGGCCCTACCTGGATCACCTCATGTGACGTTTTAGATCAGGTTTTGCATGAATGCTTTAAGACAGTGAGAGGCGTGTCCTAGACTGATCTGTATAATTATTGTAAACACCAGATAGTAAGGTGGTGTTACTGTTGTTGCAGTTTAAACTGGTGATGACTGAATACAAAAAAAAAAAATGTGTACACCAGTGTCGGGGTTAGCTCAATCACGGGTGGTGCTGCTTTCGCATTTACAGCCAGAGATGTTTGTTTCCTCATAATCAACCTACATTCCTCCAAGGCCTGGCTTTATATAGGGATTCATGTTGTGTTAAACATACATCACATATATTCAATGTAAGAACAAATACTTTATTTATAGTCCCTCTCCTGTCAGAAATGTTTTTCTTCTTGTTCCTACAGTTGGATGTTTGAGCTTCACTGTGCAGAATGATGTATGTGCAGAGTTTGACACTAGCAGGATGTTTTCACATTTATCTGCTGAAAGTGGAAAGTTTCTCTGTGCTGCTCATTGAATGATTTGATTTGGCAGGGCCTACGAGCATGAGTTGTCACATCACAAATAGTTAGGAAGCCAATCCTGGTCCAGTATGCAACTTATTCAAGTGTGATATAGAAACCTGAAACCACAAGAATAGACTTTACAGTGAAGCAGGAGACATCTTGTGTCCAGCAGGAAAACTTTGCATATTCATAGAACTTTTAATAAGGCAGAAGGAGTAGACGCCCTTTCAAGGATTTTAATGTGCAAATTATACTCTATTTGCATAAAAAAAACACATCAGATACACATTATTGTTCCAATCAGACTATTTGTTGTCTTAAAACATGTCTAGAAGGAATCTTTTAGTAAAGTTTTGAGGTACTCTTGAGTCCTCTCATTTTATGCTACTTTATTTCTACTAAACTACATTTGAGAGGCAAATGTACCTTTTACTACATGTTTCTACATTGATCATTGATCAGCTTATAAAAGATAGATTAACTTCCCAACAGTTTTGTGAACTGAGGTCCAACATTTGTTTTAGCCACAATTACGCTGCCACTGTATCCTTAAAGGCCTATTGACTCCTGCACAACTGTTTGCATGGAACAAGTTTGACATAAATGAATGTATGATAATAATCATTTACTTGTAACATGTGAGACTAGTTCCTAGAATTGGTTACTCACACTGTATGCTGCTTGTGCCAAATACAGTGTTTAATATTAATAAAAAGATGTTTACAATAGTCAGTAAACTTAACATCTATACATGCATGATCCAAACTGGCATCCTGTATATAACTTTTGTTATTACATCGATTCATTTGCTGTACACTTGACACTTCAGTGATCATTCTTCATTCGTCAAAAAGAGTTCCTTGGGAGCTTTAAGAACCAGTGCAGGTAGCAGTATTACTTTTGACCTGTATGGAACATTTATAGCCCTCAATTAGTGTGAAACAGTAAAAATGTCATTTTATCTAAAATCAAAGTTGGTCACATGCTGATTTACAGGCAAAAGTAAGGCTGTTAAATGCTAATAATCTCCTGCCTCATGCCTTTTGTACAATTAAAGCGTAGCTGTTTTCTTTACATGATCGTAACCAGTTATTATGTTATTTTAGTTATATACCTGAGCCATTCCTAATCTTACGGAGAAAATGTAAAAGAGTGTCGATGTGTTGAACATTTGTCATGTTTAAGTAAATCAGAACATTTCCCAACTATGTCCAGTATATGAATTGTATATAAAATGTAATCCAGGCAACATGTTATGTTTCTCCGACGACACACACACTATTGAGCCAACAAAACATAATTGTGCATGGTGGTGGTTTTTCTAAGAAAGGGTTCGGCAATTCAGAGTAGAACAAAAGCTGTTAAGGCTGGGACAGTTTCACCCCTCTGGTTACATCCCCGCTCTCCAGTCTGTGAAAGTCCTTAATTTAACGATTTAAGGTCAGAATCAGAATCAGAATCAGATTTATTGCCAGGTAGGTTTTTGCACATACAAGGAATTCGTCTTAGTGCAGTGGTGCATAAAATATACAATCACACACAAAAAATAGAGTACTTTTAAAATATATATAAATAAAGATAAGAAACTGTACAGAAAAGGTGGAACTGTCAATGACTCTGAGAGAGAAAAACACTGGCGGTTGTTCTGCTGGCCACACCCAGATCTAACCTGTTCTGTCAATATCAAACACATATCACATTTAAAAAGACACGAGGTTTGCGTGCAGCACTAAACACACCCACATTCATATGGCACCTTATAAATACAGACTGAACACACCCATTAGACACGAGTCATTTTTATTTCTGCTCCAGGTATGTAGTAGGTTTGTTTGATTATTTCTAATGACTGCTAGAAACATAATGATTCAAATTATAAGATGCTTTCTTTCATATTTTTTTCCCTAGGAAATAACTTTTGCCGGCAACTTGTCAACCAGACAAAATGAGTGAACGTAAGTCTCTTTGATTAACTGTTGTATCTTTTAAGAATAATTTGGAATATGATATATGATATATGATTATTACCGTAGGCTGAGAATACTGTGCTTAATGCATTTGTGCACTTAAAGTGCTCACCTGACCTGATTCATTCATTTGTGCATCTTGTCCACATTTGAGAATAGTATGTCAAATCCCTCCTTGGGCTTTGGTGTTTGGTTTAATATCATTAAGATTTTTAATGTTTTGATTGTTTATTTCCATTTTGCTATTCTACATGAACAGACACTTTACCACTGAATATTGACCGGAGAAAATCTGTTTAGCTTCTGGGGGCATTTGATGACAGATAATTATACATTTTGGAATGTTTCATGTTAGTTTGCACATTTTTGATTTTATTTTTTATTTTGTGTCTCTTCATCACAGCAAGCACAGTGGTGAGTCATTTTGTTTCCTTAAAGTGCTTTAGATCTGTGACTAACAGCATGAAAACATGTGTACTTATGAAGCTGCTTCCCTCTCTTAGGAGGAGGTGGCAGACCAAGTGGAGGAGGAACAGGACTCCTCAGGATCCGAGTCAGACGGAGTAAGACATGTTTCATCTTCCTAAAGAGTGCTTTCTGCTGTTTTTCATCACTGTCTGATTCAACTTTGTAATGCTTGTGTGTTAATTTCTCATTATCTTTTACAGAAAGGAGGAAGGCAAAAAAAGGTAGGAGTTTTGTAACCTTTTTGAATTAAAATGACGTCAGCATTTATCTCTGTGTTTTAAGAAAATGTGTCTACCGCATACATATTTATATTGTATCTATATTGTTTACAGGAGAAAAAAGGAGGAAAAGGAGGAAAAGGACGTGGAAGTGAAATGAAGGAGAAGCATGGTGGCGGTGGTGGCGGTGGTGGTCGTGGTGGTCATGGCGGTGGTCGTGGAGGTCATAATAAATGAAGAGGAAAGAAAGAAATCCTTGAATCACCATTCTGTGACAATGATTTTAAAGAATTAAACACGTCTTTAATAAACTGATCCAGAAAAAGGCATGACTGGTTTTTTGATTATTTTTCACAAATATAACTTCAGTGGCAGATTAACACATTTATCCAAAACAGATTCACTTTTATAGCTCCATTCGTTCACAACTCAACAAGTCTTAAGCCTCAGTAACTTGAGATAGGTAAACATGGATAGTTGGCTGATGACCGAGGGCAGTGTTTCACAAAGGGTCATGATGATGTGGGTTTGTTATGAATATTTTAGCCATTACAGCAACATCATATGGTTAATAAATGGAGAACCTCTGCATAGGATGAACAGTTAAGTTGGTGAAATACAATGTGGTAAAGCAGACACTTTCTAAGTGTTTCTATTGGAATGGAAGGAAAGCCAGAGGAGAATATCTTCTGACCAGATTGACATGAAATTGACTTTGTAGATCACCAACTAAGGGCCCCACGTTTAACATTTGCAAATGGGTTTGTGCTTTTCAATTTAAATTGGTCTGGGAATATGCCCCAATAAATTCACTTAATTAAGGTTGTTTCTGCTTTATTTCCAATCTTGTTTAAAGGTCTGTGTGTCAAAATCTTGTATTAAAGGAATAGGGGTTTTTATGGGGGGAAATGTTATTTGCTTGCTTGCTAAGAGTTTAAATTATATAAAACTGCCTCCAGCACTCTGCCAGCTTAGCTTAGCATAAAGACTCTAAACAAAGGGGTAACAGCTGGTTTGGCTTTGTCAACAGGTAACAAAATTGACTGGCAACTTTAAATACAAACTAACACATTTTATCTTATGCGTCTGATTATGAATTGTTCAACCATGGAGGTACCATATTTTGAAAACTTTCCTCGAACTTTACTACTTTGAATACTACAGTGCATATTCAGTGGGTTGCATAACCAGGAAGTCCTAAACTTTTTTGCAGTATGCACCAGGTGAGCAGTTGAATAGCTATCTTGGCATCCGGTATCTAGTTCTATTATATATCTACGGATAAAAGGCTTTATGCCAAGCTAAGCTAACCGGATGCTGGCGGCATAGACTGTATGAATAAAAATAAACGTAGTCTCTGTGACATCACCTGTAGTTTTCTAAAGAGCCATTGTCCTCCTGACTGAGTTGGCTCCATCCTAATCCAAAAATGTGATTCAAAAGAAAAGATTTTGAGCATGGGTGGAGCAGAGGCGGGCCAAATGAAGCCGGGTTGCTGAAACCGGGCATCTATGATGACACCCACCTGTCATTCATTTCACCCCTTAAGACCATTTTTTTTTCATATATGCTGCATATTAAATTAAATTAAAATCAAATTACCATGAAGAGGCTCAGTTGTATTCCAGTACAGACAAACTTAACATATTGCACAGTGAATGGGAGGAAAATCCTGATGATTTTGATGACTGTTCCTTGACTGACCTTTCCTGTAGCCAACTTTAACATGGCACACAAAATAGTTCACGATAGGCAGTTTAATAAGAAATTTCCTACACATCAGTCCTCCCAAAAGCTGTTTTGCTTTTAATTACACAGAGGCCTTTCCTCTACTACCATCCTCAAGACAAACTTTACAATCATTAATCTACAAACATAATACCTTCCCTCCATAATAAGCAGCTCAGTGTCAGCTGTAACGATAAAAATGGTCAGGGGTATCCAGCTGTTTGTCTTTTTCAATGCAGTTTTTATGCAACATGTACCACAGAGTGTGCTGTTTCTAGCAGGAAAATCTCTTTTCTCACACTGTTGCTCTGCATTTTCCTCAGTGTGCTGTCATGACATAAACACTACCATCAGATGCATCTAAGCCTGCTGGTATTTCATTTCCCTTTGGGCCTACACCATTCTCTACACAGCCGCATTGTTGTGAAGAGAGAATGAGTCACTGTTGAATGCCAAAGGTCTGATCTCATCTGTTACTTCTGAATGCTCTGACGCACTCCTCTTTGAGATGACATCAGGAGTGTTTATGCTTTACTGATAGATTGAGAGTGGCCATGATGAACCAGAATCACCTTGCTGCTCTGAGCAATGCAGGAGTCCTCCAAAGACTGTGGGCTCATCTGAATCTCTCCACCACCAATCAGACTCTCACACAGACTTCCTGTAGGTCCCGCCATCACTGACATGCCATTACTTACACGTGAATGTGTCTTAGAAGCGTCACTGTCTTCTTTAAAGGCATACTATGCAAGATTTGTACCTTAATATAACAGCTTCTAAGTCATTTTGATGGTAAACGAACTCGTAGTATAGCGAATCCTACCGATAGCAACGCTGGGGAGGGACCCTGCTGGCAGAAACAGCAATGCAAGTCTGAAGATGGCGCCCCGCCTAATCTCGCGAGAATCACTAATTGCTTTACAGCGCGACGTCGCATACATCAGCGACATAAGAAGCAGCCTCAATGGAAGACACTAGCAGGCATTCACTCAGACGTTACCTGGTCAGTAGACATCTTCTGAGTCTATCTTTGCCCGTTCGATGTCCGACGCTTCCATCCTACTGAACATGTACCGGTATAAAGGGGGGAGGGGATCAGGCCGTGAGTGCAGAGACGCAGAGCCTCAGAGACTCTAAGGGTAGCTGTTTGACAAAACCGGAAAACTGCATAGTATGCCTTTAATGCCCTTAAGCTCATTATGTAGCAGTCACCTCGACGCTCATTGGGAGCCTCTGAGGACATATTCCTGGGTACGTGCTCCTGGTCATGCTCTCATCAGTATGTTCATTAGCCAGGACTGTAATCTCCTCTGAGATATTAGTTTCTCTAATATGCTCCTTGAAGAAAGAAGAAGATGTTGCTTTAGACTGGAGTTAAGAAACAATAATGAATTGATTGAGGAGCGTGAACCTGTTGCTTGTGATTGCTTCACTCTCGTTCACAGATGACTTTCGTTCTGCATTGCTCAGTTTATGTTTTTCTGTGGCTGAAATGCCACCAACAGGTTCCAAGTCCACAGTCTCTGGTGTGTCTGTTGAAGATTGTAACAGCACGATATTCATCTTCATGCGAGTGATTATGTACATTCACTGAGTGAATATTATGAAAATAAAATATATATTTCTTGCTAGAAATGTAATCAAAACTCATTTTTATGCAGAAACTAACTCAAAATATTGATTTTTTTCACTAAAAATAAGAGAAATGTCCGCCATGTTTTTTGTTCTCACGGCCAGAATATTGAAAGTCACGTGACTTGGACACAAAACCATAGGAAAAGAATAGGCAAAAAAAAATGTAACAGTCATACAATTCAAGGGCCATTATTGTAACCCCTCTACGTGTTGGCACTTTGGACCAACGTAGACAGGGTACATTTTTATATGAGACTGGGTTGCGAAATTAAATATAAATAGTACAAAAAGTTGTAGATAGGAGATTTAAACCAGTCTTAGTTAGCGGGGGTTGGAGGTACTGGGTGCTGTGGCGTTGTGGAGTCTGATGGCAGATGGAACAAACGAGCCTCCAAACCGCTTTGAGGTTCGAGGATCAGTCTGTGGCTGAAAGTGCTCATGAGCTGCTTGAGCTTAGTGTAGAGAGGATGACAGGGGTTGTCAATGATGGCTTTCAGCTTCCCTCTCATCCTCTTCTCAGTCACAGCCTCCACACTGTCCAGCTCCATCCCCACCACCGAGCATCAACTGATGCTGGTACAAAACGCAGCTGGTTTATTAAAAGCAGTTTGTAACAGTGTTGAGACTGGTGCTAGGGATATCCTAATGGCTTTTACACACAGCACCATGCAATCAAAACATCAAGGACCATATCAATGTATATTTCAGTTATCTGTTGTTGAACTCCAGAAGTAAAGCACTTATGAAAAATCCTGTTATTATCTCTGTAAAGCACTTTTCTTAACATAGTTAAAGTGCTTTCCAAAAGAAAAATAAAGCAATAGTAAAATTGGGAAATGGAATTGTTAAACAACAACAAAACAACAAAATACTGTAAAAAGTTAATCAAAACTAAAAATAACCAATGTGAAGAGAGAAAAGCAGTTTAAACACACTGGATATTCACAAGTGTTCCAAAGTATGGAGGTTTTAACTGCAGAGGCTCGCTCACTTCTTGTCATCAGCACAGATCTTGTAGCTATTTTGGCACGAAGCCATTGAATGTCAGTGTAGGTATGCTGGGATAATATGCAAATCATTCTGACATTAATGTATTTCTGCATTGTGCCTGCTCTTTCTTTATCTCTTCCATTCCTTCAAGGTGTGTTCTTAACTGTGTAAATACACAAACCTTTTTTACCAAGCCAGGTACTAACAAATAAATATACAGTAATATAATTAGAAATAGTAATTACAATAATTACCTCATGGAGACACATAACATAAAATGCTTGTTGAACAATTGTAAAGTTTATTGAAGTCATATTTAAGTTTCAGGATTTAAATCGGTGTGAACATTGCATAATTTGGAATGAAATAATAACACTCATGACACTGACTGGTAAAAAACAACATGAAACATTTACTGTAGTTCATTCAAGTGCAACAATCAAATCTTACCACCACCAACACCCTAGCATTAAGTGAACACTGTAGAAGAATGCTTTAAATCTTAAACATTCATTCAGTTGATTTCAAAGTAACTGGTATATTTAGTATTTATGAAACAAGCTGTGAGAACCATTTGCCTTTTACAAAGACGCATGGAAAAGAATTCAAGATCCTCATATTAGCAAAAGAAACAGAACTGATTATTTTGACAGGAATCTTATAATTCATACAAGGTTCAAGGTTGGCCTTGAGTTTTTATTCAAATAGGTTAGATGTGTATTTTCCTAACATCAGCGTGGTAACAGGCTCAAAATAACAACGCTAGATGCTGATAACAGGAGAGACTGATTGGAATGTCATTAGTTTTGCGGCTATTTGCAAACAGACAAAAGTTCACCTGATAATAATGCAAAATATAACAATTGTCAATGTAGTGTGACCTATATTTAAAACTACACTTTTCCACTTTTCCATTTCTGAAACCAGTGCACACTCCCAACATTGACTAGCCAATGAGGGAAAACTATGTGAAATA